AGGACAATTAGCTGTTAAAATCAATCATTTGTTGGGCTCTGAAGCCTAAAGAAAAGGTAGAAGCCAGCACAGGTTTCTAGAGTGCCAAAAGAGTAACTTTCACAGTGGATTTTACCCAACAAAAATATTCTTTAAAAATGTAAGCAAAAGTAATTTATAGTTGGGGGGTGGGGAGACAGTGATCATCTGAGTTAGTTGATTCAGGGATGGGCTACAAAGAGGAATCAGAAACTCGGAAATGATGGAAATTTTTTGTATTTTGATGATGGTACAGATGTATTAGAACTCATTTAATCAAATGGATGCAGTTTACTGTTCAGAAATTATATACCAATAAAGTTGATTTAAAAATTTAAGGTAGAGGGCGCCTGGGTGGCTCAGTTGGTTGAGCGACTGCCTTCGGCTCGGGTCATGATCCCAGGGTCCTGGGATCGAGCCCTGTGTCGGGCTCCCTGCTCAGCGGGGAGTCTGCTTCTCCCTCTGACCCTCCCCACCTCATGCTTTCTCTCTCTCTCAAATAAATAAATAAAATCTTTAAAAAAAAATTTTTTTTAAGGTAGATTTCTGCTTCTAGCCAAGATGAAGAAAGAGGGACTGGATTTACCTTTCCATCAGAAACAATTTTTAAAAAACTAGGCAAAACAATGAAACAGTTGGTTTTTAGGACTTTGGGCATTAGGCAGAAATGGACAGTGATCTCTGGGAGGTGGGATGCAGATTGAAAGGACAGTGAGATCACACCAGCTTTCTGCCTGAAGAGTTTGCAGACTGCAGTGCAGGGGTTTGGGGGGCATCCGTGGAAGCCCAGCAGTCTCCTGAGTTGAGACTTACAGGTGAGTCCAGGGAAACCAAGAAGGGTGGGGTTTTCAGAGATGAGTACTAGTAAGTGCATGCATTTGAGGAAGTGACTTGAGTCCAGTGTGGGAACCACCTTCCAGGTTTAGGGGGCAAATCCTCAGTCCTCCCACAAGGCCAGGAATAGCTTCTGCCTCCACCAGGCCGACTGGAGAACCTCCTAGTTCACATGGCAGAGGAGTCATCCCAGGATGGTTTTGCCTCAGTAGTGGGACAAAATTATCTTTAAGTTAAACATTGGTGTTGTACGACCTAACAGTTTAAAAGCAAGAACTGAAAAGATCAAACTATTTTCAAATATCTATGTCCCAGAGCAAAGCTCAAGCACCCTCAAGCCTTCATGGCCCACACTCTGAGAACTGCCTCACGATGAAATACCATGACTCATGGTGACGGTTTGAAATTTCTGGATTAAGTCAGACAATGTAAAGATTTTATAAGAATTTGAGAACTGGGTTTTTCTCTTGGTCTTTGCTGCCCCAGTAGCCTTCCTGAGGCCAGGACACCAGGCAAGAAGAGGTGAAAATACAGAACTGAGAAGTTGGTTATTCAAATCTGTTTCTATTGGCGGAGGGCTCTGACTTTATCATCCATCTTTCCCAGACACTCAGGGCTATGTAAATCAGATGGCAGTATTTGTTTCTTTGATTCTGTGTTGAAGTATCCACTTTATTAGAGGAAGAGCGGTTTTATCTACTGTTGGTTCCTGGCTGTGAGAGCCCCTGTCACTTTTGGTTGGTTTTAAGGACACTTTGCTTTATTGAGATTCAAGACCTTCCTGTCAAGTGTAACCTTTGTCCTGTTGGATTGACCATCATTACTTGTTATAGTAGAAACATTTGTGGGTTTCCAAACACTTCCAGAATGCTCCCTGTGAACAGTTGATAGACAAGCATGGAATTGTATAGCGTGGCCCTGAGATTATCTAAAGCGAGAATCCTAAACTGTGGATAAACACAACCTGTTCCCAGGATGGCTTCTGGTGTCCTCATAACTCTATTTTGAGCATTACATGGAAGGATTATATATCCATGTATGTAAACCCATACAGATGTGTTTGTGTGTGTCTCAAAAAAAAAAAAAAAAAGTGCTGTTTTATATAACCTCCTAACAACTTAAAACGCCAAACTATAGCTCTGCCTCCATTTACGTTTGCTCTTTCTCTTGCAGTGGCCCGTATCATATTTACCTAACTCTTCTCTACCAGCTCCTTACTCTCGCAGGGAGCAGGGCTGCTAACTGAGGATGCCAGGAGCCTGTGTTCAGAGAATACCACCTACCTTGATTTAATTGCAGTAGAAGCCACGAATACAGTCATGTTGTCACGTTAGAGGATAGAGCAGTGACATTTGGCACAGTTCCAAACTGCAGGGAATCTAACATTCTAACAAATTTCCTAATCCTTCTAAAGGCTCCTCCTTTCACGAGCGGCCTACGCCAGTTTGTTCCCCGAGCTGCCGGTGGAGTTCACTAGAGGATGAGAAATCTGTCAGAAGAAGGCGGCACACTGTCTCATTGTCCTCAGATATAGCTTCTCCAGTGGTTCGGGGGAAGTTTCCTTAACTTCTCTCTGTAGTGAACAGCTTTTTTCTATAAACGAATCCTTTTGAATGTTGCACAGTGAAATCTTAGGCCTTTATCTGAGAAGTTTTAAAAAGCCATCCACAAATCCAGTGTCCCTGTGATGCTTTCTCTTGAACAGGGTGACTTTTGTTTTACGTTGTGGCCTGAGAAGGCTGATCTGGGAGGCACAGAGCCAAACAGCAAATCGCTCACAACCCCTTCCTTTCTCCCCCTGCCTTCATGTCTTTGATAGCCCTCCCTGCAGGGAGACAGGAAAGATGTGGCTGTATGAAGGACTTCTTTTGTAGTTGACCCAGAGCCCACCACTGTCTTTGATTTGTTGAGGCCTAATAGGGTAGGTACTCCGATTAATTCTAAAGCCCAGGTGAGATCTCTACCTATAAGGAGTCCCCTTGCAAACATGAGCCACATTCAGACATTTGAAGCAGGCCAGCTGACAGAAGGGTGGAAGGTCAGTGGTGTGCAGTAGGTTTGAGTCTCACTTCCTCTGTTTTACCTACATGTGGGATATGAAAAAGAATTAAGTCAAAAGTGTTTCTGTCGATAATTTAAAGGTAGTAGAAATAATGTGACGGCACATGCTGTTTGGAAAATACGCCATTATTACTATATCCGCTTATTTGCCAGTTTCCGACTTGGAACTTGACCTTCTGCCGGACACTCCCAGGAGCTCTCATGTCTGGGGGGGTTGTGTGAAGGCCGTGGAGCTTTCTTGTCAATGAGGTAATGTGCGGTGGAGGGAGGAAAGCAAGTGAGAGTTTTGCCCCTCTGACATTTTCTCATTACTATTCTGAATCCCTTGGTTTAAAAAGTTGGAAAGAATACTTAAGGTTCACAGTCCCTTATGTAGAATGGTGGGGGCTGGATGGGTTTCAGAATTCAGAAATGTCCGCATTTTAGAAGGACAAGAGAATGTATACACCATATGGTAATATTCCCACTGGGGTCTGAGACCGCACCCCACAATCACATTAATATTTCCACAGGGGAAAAATGTGAAGATTCATATAACCTGGGATAAATTAAAAGTATTAATGTCAGCCCATGTCAAGTTTTACTGCCACATGTGTTTGCCTAAGTTTGGTTTTTACCTTTCAACTTCAGAATTGCAAATAAGGGGCTGTGGATTCAAGCCTGGTTGAATCTTGGTAGTAGTTAACAGAGCCAGCCGGGTCACAGGGCGGAGTTTGTGGTCTTGTGTCTCTCGCTACTGGGCTTCCGTTCTCCGACTATGCTGATGTGTCACACAGGGATACTTGCTCTCTGGGCTATTGTGAGGATCAGCTAATGCATCTGAAGTACTAACCAGCGATTGGCATATGGTGGGTATTCGGTAAATGTTAGCTGTTAAAATTTTGGCTCCTCCCTTCCCCCTTTCACTTTGGGAGAATTGACCGATGCACTGGCTGCATTGTCACTCTGGAAAGAGACCAGAGCAGTATGGAGTGCCTCGATTTCACTGCAGAATTAGAAGTCTGAAGTTTTATACCAAAACTAATGTCTTGGGGCATCTGTCAGTTGAGCGTCTTACTCTGGGTTTCGGCTCAGGTCGTGTTCTCAGGGTCTTGGAATCCAGCCCCATGTAGGGCTCCCATGCTCAGCGGGGAGTCTGTTGGAGATGCTCTCTGTTCCTCTCCCTCTGCCCGCCCACCCCCCCCCACTCATGTGTGCGCCTGCGCTCTCTCTTTCTTTCTCTCCCAAATAAATAAATACATCTTAAAAGAAAAAGAAAACTAATGTCTTGTTAAATGACTAATATCACCATAAAATTTGTTTGCAGAATGACTAGACTTTTCAATGATGAGTAAATATTTTGATTAATGTTACATGATACTTAAATCTCCTGAATGATTTTTTTTTACTGTCTCTGAGGAAGGAATATTTGCCACTAGCTGATTTGCCATTATGAAACCCCTTTTAAAGTTTCTATTCAGGCACTCATCTTTTAGAAAAATATTTGAAAAGTATATTGTTGATGATGCTTGTGCTCTAACAAAGATATAACTGAGGTTTATAATTTAGGATATTGGAAAAATGGCATTGGGAGTGAAATCGAAATCCAGTTTTACCAAAAAAAAAAACCCCTAGAATTTGCAAGTATATTTATGGGCTTTTTAGTGTGAAACAATATATATTAAAGTATCTTTTGTAAAGTGGACCTCTGCTTTTAAATTTGTAAAGCCCTAAAAGGGGAAGATGATTAAAAAGGAATTACCTTTAGTTGCCAAGCTGTTTTTTAGAGCCTCATTTTGTACTTTGTAATCCATTCAGAGAAATTCCCTAAAGTATCAACATCTGTTCTAACAATGCATGATCTTGACATACAGAAAGTGTTAATTCATTTTTCTGGCTTTTTCTCTTAACTTGTGAAGATTATAGTTGTGGATGCTTGTTCTACTGTATTTTTTGGAGTAGAGACAGAAAAATTGAAACAGAAGGATTTCAAGAGAAGAGAGATGTTAGCTTTCTGATGGCCATGTGCCCTACAGGAGTTAGGAGCAGTTAAGTGGGACATAGTGGACCTGCCTACATTTATATGCATGTACTGCCTCTCTTCACAGCTGAACTATCAGCAGAAGGTGGGCATCATGTACTGCAGAGCTGGACAGAGCACTGAAGAGGAGATGTATAACAATGAGTCAGCCGGCCCGGCGTTTGAGGAATTCCTTCAGCTGTTGGGAGAACGTGTTCGGCTCAAAGGATTTGAGAAGTATCGTGCACAGCTTGACACCAAAAGTAAGAAATACTTATACTCTCCTGCTAGGCTTATTTCCCTCCTGCTGTGTTGATGTTCATCTGCTAAATTGCCCATAAAACAACATTGCCATTTACCGCAGAACACTGCTGCTGATAGGGGAGAGCAAGTCGGAGAGGGAGGATGAGCCACCGAAACAATTGAAGACTATAATCAAAATAGCTAGGATTGGACTGGTTAAAAAAAAAAAAAAATCGCGTTATCAGAAGTGTCGACGGAGTAGTAGAGCGGTGGGTGCAAATCATGCAGAATGGCTCCTGGATAGTGTTGCATAAATTTCACTATATTTAACTGAATGTTAGAGTGATTTCAGATTCCAGAATCTTATAACCACATGGTCGTAAGCCCTAGAATTTTTTACTTTCATGAATTTCTTTCGTAATCCTCATGCTTATCTATGCAGTCAGTCTTCATATGGTTTTCTTACTCATTTTTTATATTCTAGTAATAGTGAGGGCCTTTGTTTGCTTATTTTCTATTTTTATTATTCATAGTCTAATTGAATCCCTAAGAAAATAGGCTTCTTAGCTTTGGTATTAGATTGGCTCCTGAAATTAGTTGATTAAAAGCACAATGATGGAAGAATTTTTTTTTAGCTATGGCTCATGAACATACAAGTACATGAACATACCTGTACACTCCCGTTCCCCAAGTCATTAATAACATAGTTAAGTTCTCAAGTATCTATTTAGGTTAGAGGAGGTTGACGTCTGCTGTGTGTCTGTGAGGAGGCAGTTTTAAATTTTACCTCAAAATCCATCCACGGACACCTGTGACCTGTTTTTCATTGAGAGGGTCTTTGGATTAGCACATCTGTATTGCAGTCTATAGTAATCTCTCCGATTTTCTGCACAGGAAATTAAATAAGGAGTTGAGTCATGAAAACAGAAAAGCATTCATAAACTCCGCTGTAGGGAAGAATTTCCTGTTGCCATGGTTTTGCTGTTGCCAACTTGGAAACGACATGCAAGAGAGACTATTAAAGCCCATAAATAGCCTCAACTCTTAAATATTATTTTAACATTCCATACTCTGCTTGCAACTGCATAAAATGTTAAATCTCAATATGCCATGAGACTCCTCTTTTCCAGAGACTCTGACATTTGCCCTATAAGCTTCATTCATATTGTCCCAATTTGTTGTGTTATATAAATTATCCTCACCACAAAGAGCTATATGAAAGGGTCTGGGAAGAGAATATAATAAGCACCCTGGTTATTTTTTTTTATACATATAGTATATTAGTAGTTTCATGGGGGTAGAATTTAGTGATTCATCAGTTGCATAAAACACCCAGTGCTCATTACATCAAGTGCCCTCATTAATGCCCATCACCCAGTTACCCCATCCCCTCCAACAACCCTCAGTTTGTTTCCTAGAGTTAAGAGTCTTTTATGGTTTGCCTCTCTCTGTTTTTATCTTATTTTTCCTTCCCTTCCCGTAGGTTCATCTGTTTTGTTCCTTAAATTCCACATACGAGTGAAATCATATGGTATTTGCCTTTCTCTGACTTATTTCACTTAGCATACATAATACCCTCTAGCTCCATCCACATCACTGCAAATGGCAAGATTTCATTCTTTTTGATGGCTGAGTAATATTCCATTATATATATGTATTCTGTATATTTCACATATATATGTATATATATTCCATATATTTCCATATATTTCATTCTTTCTGATGGCTGAGTAATATTCCATACACACACACACACACACACACACACACACATCTTCTTTATCCATTCATACTTTGATGGACATCTGGGCTCTTTCTGTAGTTTGGCTATTGTGGACCGTATAAACACCCGATTTTGTGCATGAATGGCCAGATTAGAAATTGATAAGAATATTATTTGTGCATTCACACATTCCCAGCCACTTCTTGATGAGGAAAGGCAATGTGAGAAATGTATAACAAGACCATGCTTAAGCAATGTGGCATCAAGTAAGAAACTAGAATAAGCAAAATAAGCACTTTGTGCATATTTTGCCTCAAAATCCCAATAACCATGAAGGCTAGAGGGGGGTGAGCCTGGATTAGCAAACTGTCTCTGATGGCACACTTTCACAGTTCTGTGATGTTCAGCAGCGAAGGGTTCCTTTTCGCTGCGGTGCCCTCCTTTAAGTCCCCTGTAACCTTTCAGGGCAAAGCTGATGAGCAGAAGAGTCTGTAGTTTCTTTTTCTGCCCTTTCAGAGGGTCAAGTTTCCTCCCGGGAACAGAAAGTCAGAGAGTATTTCTATTCTGCAGCCCTGAAAGAGGCAGTTTGCATATTTATCTCTCTTACTTCAAGCCGACAGGGTCAAAGCCAGCCCCTGCATACCCCAGCAGCCTCTCACTGGCCATGGCACACCCAGAGATGAGACTTGGCTCTGTGTGCTAGGAGGTCATCTCACCACATTTTGTCCAAACTTATTTTGTGTCAGGAAACCCTTTCTTTCCATATAATCATTAAAAAGAGAAAATGCTGGGGTGCCTGAGCGGCTCAGTTGGTTAAGTGTATGACTCTTGATATCAGCTCAGGTCTTGATCTCAAGGTCGTGAGATTGAGCCCCAAGTCAGGCACTGTGCTGGGCATGGAACCTGCTTAAGAGTCTCTCTCCCTCTCCCTCTGCCCCTACCCACTCTAAAAAAGAGAGATAGAGAAAGCTTTCCAGTTCAAGTGTTCCCAAAGGATCATTTCCTTTATGTTTGACAGTGTAGATGTGATTGGATCTGTGGATTTGTAGTTTTCATCAAATAAAAATAGTAATCGCCAATCTTGATTTCTTTATTTTTTTTTCTGTCCCCATCTTCTGAATCTCCAATTACACATACATTGGATCACTCACTAGGATACCATGGGGGTAATGAGGCTCTATTGATTTGATTTTTTTAACCTTTTTTTTCCCTATCCTTCCATTTGGATAATTCCTGTTAATATATCTTCCAAATTCAGTGTGTTCTTCTTTTCTTCCATAGTGTCTTAATCTGCTGTTAATCCAGTCCAGTGAAATTTTCATTTCAGATATTGTCACCTTCAGGGCCAGAACTGCATTTGGTCCTCTTTTCTTATATTTTCCCTCTTTCTCCTCATAAGGTTCACGTTGTCCTTTAAATACTTGAACATATTTATGATGGCTGTTTTAAGGTTTTTTTTGTGCCAATTCTCTCATTCTTGTGGATCCTTTGAGGTCTCCATTTAACAGATTTTCTCCTGCTTTTGAGTGACATTTTACTGCTTCATGCATCTGGTTACTTTTGATTAGAGAGTGTATGTTGCGAATGTTTTATGGCTGAGTGTCTAGATTTTGTCGTCTTTAAAAGGAGTGTTGTTGAGCTTTGTTTTGGTGGGCAGATAGGTTACTTACAACACAGCTTGATGTAATGAATCTTGTTCTTAAGCTTTGTTAAAGCATACCTAGAGCAGTTCTTTATCCTCTAATTTAGCTCTACTATTAAGGCATGACTTTTCTTATGTCTGAATACCTGCATATTCAGTGAGGTCTCTTTACTGTGGCTGGTTAGAACTTGACAGTCTTCCAACCTTATGTGAACTGTGAGAATTGTTTGCTTTCCAAGTCTCTGGTAGTTTTTCTTTGCCGAATAGTTTTTCTGTCTTTCTTTTATTGAGGTATAATTGACATATAGCATTCTATTAGTTTCAGGTGTAGAATGTAATGATTCAATACTTGTGTATATTGTAAATTACCACACAGTAAGTCTAGTTAACATGTGTTGCCAAACAAGGTTACAAAAATTTTTTTCTTGGGATGAGAACTTTTAAGATCTACTCTTAGCAAAACTTTCAAATATGCAGTACAGTATTATTAACTCTAGTCACCATGCTGTACACTACCCTAATAGTTTTCTTTGCCTGGCTTTTGGAATCTTACTCTCTCTGTGTGCAGCTTACTATTCATCCCAAGACTCAAGGGGACCCTTATGCAGATTTCTGAACCTCTTTCACTGTGTAGTTTTCCTCCTCTTTGGTACTCTGCCCAGCAAATATCAGCTACCTCAGGCTTCCTGAACTCCAGTATGTTTTGGCTTCCCTCTTCAAAGCCATGCTCTGTACTGTTGTTCCAGAAGTACCTCTAGGTAGAGAACCTGGTGGGAATCAGAGGACTCATCTTCTTTGGCTCTTTTTTTCTCTTGGATCACTATCCAATGTCTGAAAAAAGTTGTTTCAGGTATTTTGTCAGTTTTTCTAGTTATTTATAATGGGAGAACAAGTCCTGTACCAAGTACTCTTATGGCTGGAAGCACAAGTTCCAGATACTTTTTATATTTGTCTTCTCGTGCAGCCCTCACAGGCCTTGCTAGGTACCGGTTATCCCCATTTCACAGAATTGGCTTCTGTAGATTGACATGCCCAAGGTTAGATGGCTAGGAAGCACGGCGGAGGTAGAACAGATCCTAGCGCTGTGGTTAAGTGTTCAGAGAAAGCATAAATGTAGAATTAAGTACAGCAAAGCCCAGAGTTCTGTGTCCTGGATGTGTCTCCCCCTCTCTCAAGCCCTTGGGTTCACATTACCCAAGCCATCTCGAGAAATGGCTCTGCTTGTTATGTATTACAATTCAGATTTTAGGAAGGATCGATGGAGCTTTTGAACCATTTCTTGTTTTTCCCAGTTTTTCATACAAAGTCCATTTTCCTGGTTCAGAAATAAGGTCGTTTTGCAAACAAGCTACAGATGTGTCAGGGGTTGGAACAGTTCTGCAATGAAGACATTTTTCAAGTGGTGGATTTTTTTTTCTCTCCTTACTTTGTCTCCTCACTTGGGTGACATAACCTCTAGATAATTACCACCCTCACACTACAGCAAATACAAGAATAAACTTCCCACCAAGCAGTTTGTTGTTTGAAAGCTGGAGACCACCTTCATTTTTAGCTGTGCATATGGATGATTATTTGGGAAATCATTTCCTGGATGAGGCTAGTTTGTCAAGGCAGAACATAGATTTTAGAAGCCCTTTGTAAAGCATTCCTTCAAAGCCTTAACCTTCATTAATTTGCTGCAATGTTAGTGAATGCTTGTTGCTTCCCCCATTTTTCAGCAGTGTTACAAAAACCACTGAGATTCAGAGTCTTAGAAGAGATACAAGTTTTTTCATAAAGAAAATAAGTCCTTTTTTATTTGGAATATTTAAACTTTGATAGGGAACTGGATAAAACTAGCATTGCTTAAATGCTCTGCACATGCAAGGGGCCATTTGGAGTTTAGACACTGATGAAGAAAAGGATTCTTTTTTCACCTCCTTAACTTTGACCTGTGTTACAATGTAAGGTTTTTCCTTTGAGTGTTCCTGGAATGCACTTGGCAAAGGAATTAAAATATGTAAAGGTCCCTCTTTAAGGAAACTACCCTTTATACCTCAGCTGCACAAATTTCTAAATTCTAATCCTTATCCTGAGCATCTTTTATGGGCTAGTACTTTCATATACATATTTCATGTAACCCTCACAGCAGCAAGAGCATCAGTGGACAGAGAAGTGAAGTGATTTGTTTGTGGTCATTTAGCAAATGATGCTGCTGTCATTCAAATTCAGATCTTACTTCCAAATTGAGAATCAGGTAACTGCAGGTGTCTTGCCAAGTGAGTCGTTGGCAGAAAACAGTAGTGACTGACTCCTAAGTGCCAGCCCCCACCGTCTCGACCTTCCTCATCTCTCCGTGTGTTACTGATTTTGAGAAGCCTCGAGTCCCAGGTGCATTCACTTGCACACTCACACACAGGCCTTCAGCTGACACAGTATGGACTCACCTGTCATGGCAAAAGGCAGGACGACAGACTCTTCTTGATCCTGACCCTCACTGAAGTGAAAGAACCCATCTCCTGGCCACGGCTAAATGTACCTTGAAAAATTATTAGTAAACATGATAGATGCCAGAGCAGGTGGAAGTCTTGACTTCCCCAAATACTCCACTAGTGAGTGAGTGAAATAGTACCACGAAGGCCAAAGTGTGTCTCCTCTCGAATCCGTGCTGCTGTCCCAGAGGTCAGTACTTGGCCCTGGCTGTGTTTCTGAGCATTGACTTCTGCGTTCCCCAGACCCTGAGGCAAGATTGCATGGATGAGACATCAGGGGGCCTTCAAGGGATGGTCCCCAGCAGCCACCTGACGATTATTATATTTCAAATTAAATAAAGGGATAAAAATGAGACTTACAAGCTATCTGATTTCATCTTGTATTTTGATGTGTTCTGTAGTGGTGAGTACATTTAATTAACGGAGCTTAAGCTTTCTTCATTCTGTTGACTTTATTTAGCCTATGTGCGTTTAGTTAACGAGATTACTTTTCTCTTGTGCTCATAAATATTTAAAACCAGGAACTTTCCTGAAATCAAATTGCATAGGCTTGTTTTCCTTCATCTAGCTTTTCTTAACTCTGATACATCTATTAGTGATTGAGAAATGGTTGTTATAAAAGTCTGATTACTTTTCCTCATTCAGATTTGTACACATACACCTTGTCAACGAAGTTTCAGACTACCTAAAAGTAAAGGCGTTGAGCCCAAAAGAGCAGTCAAGGATGATTATGACACGGACTGTATCTAAAACTGCTCTACAAACTCATTAACCAGTTCATACCATCTTAAATAGAAATGCCTAATGTACGATATTATCATGTGTCTACACTTTTTCAAAGCAGCTGAGAAATACACTGTTACCATTCCTCAATTATTCAGTGCCTTCTTATCATCTATGTTGAATATTAGAAATTTTACTTTCTAGGACTTTGCGTAGAATGCCGATCTTATTAGTGGGTGGATGCCACTTGCTGATAGTATGATTTGGAGGCAGATCATGTGATTATCGAGATGACCCATAAGATGCCTGAATTTACTTTTTAACTTTTACAGCTCCTTGACAAGTATGAAGGAGCGTTATCTTCCTTTCACTCTTCTCAAAGCGTATTTCCCTTTAGAAATTTTTAAATATATATTCTCTTTAGCCAGAGGGAAAAAAAGGATTTTTGTCATTTTCATTTTCCTGATTGTCATGCTATTAAATTTTTCATGGTTTCAGGGTCACTAAAAATATCATAATAGCAATATTGGATGCTTTATTTTTAAGAAAATAAACATTCATTTTCCATTCTCTCTGATAAAGTTTAACAATTCTGTTATGTACATAGTATTTTCAGGATTTGGAATTCCTTTCTTCTCAGAAAGGAAAATGTCATTATTTCAGCCCTCGTTTCATCTCTGAAACTTTTGAAACTATTTAAACTGTTTTAAATTATCAGCAAAACTTGGGGGTTTCCAGAAGTCCCCAGAAAAAGGATGGTCAAGCAGCGTACCTGACATAAATGAGGTGTGCAGAAAGGAAAGCGAGAATGGGCCAGAAGCAGAAAAGCAGATGACCTTCTGCATTGTCTTCCGCATCAGCTTTCCTCTCTGGCAGTAATCCTTTTAGAATCAGACAGACGTAGAAAGCGGAATGTAATTCATGAATACTAGATGACAGTCTCTTTTCTAGTTCATTAATTTTGCTCAAAATTGACTTGAAACACATGTAAGTACATGTCAAAGCTGACACATTCACTTTAAGGTTTTAAAATGTACTAATCAGTTCAAGAGTTATTTATAGCAATGATCCTTAACAGTAGATATGTTCTTCATACTCAGGAGCTGTCTTAGTTCAATTATTTATTGCAGTAATTTGTAGTTTTTTTTGTTGGTGGTCATTAGCATTTAGAGGATATTTTTTCTTGGAAAGTTATATGTTGGTACATATTTTTGCAATTTTTGAAGAGTAGTCTGTGCTTTATTTCACTTTAGCTTGTTTCTAATCCTTTGCGTTTAATGTCCGCTTCCAAAAATTAAGGTCCTCCAGGAAGCTTGAGGTTGAAACTCTGGTCTCTAGACCATTTCTATAAGTCTATCTGCAAGCTACTGTTGCGGTTTGTTCTTGGGGCAGTGCCTGAGGGCAGTGGAGCTCCTGAATTACTGTCACCCTACGGGTGTTTATTTTTAGATTCCCCTGCCCAGCCCTGTACCCACTGAGCAGTATTTCTGGGGGTGGTGCATGGGAATCTGCCTTTTAAACTAGCTCCCCAGATGCCACTGTACATGCTAAATTTGAGAACTACTGCCTCTTAGTATATGCCAGGGGCTTTGTCTTGAAGCTTCTCAAATGGAGTAAAGCATTCTGGTCCTCAACAGTATGGTTGACGGCGGCTTGAGTTTACCCAGAATGAACGCACTTCTGTCATTTTGCAGCCAGTAAGTCCAGGGCCTTTAAGACTAAAGATACTCCCTTTTGATTGGACCATTAATAATTCTCTTCTCTGGTTTCCAGTTATTTGTGGGCAATTGATTTGTTAATGATTAAGTGGTTAGAGGTTGCTGTTGACTTAAGGAAGGTGAGAGCAGAACAGTCTTAAAACATTGTTGGACATTGCTAGAATACCTGTGTTACTCAGTGTTACAGTCTTGTTAAATTTCTGTTTCTTAAGAACAAAACATTTCTCTTAAATCAGAAGTTCTGGAAAAGATGTTCTTCATTTGATGTCTGGATAGAATTCAGGGTGTGTAAACTTGGATGGGAAATAATTTTACATTATTTTCACTGACCCCCTAACTAAAATTTAGCACTTCCTTCAGTTATGAATATAGGCAACAAACAGTTGTTTTAAGTTCTACCTATGATTTTATTGCAAGTTAGAAAGCATAGATATTTTCATATTGTATTTTTTTTGGAGATCCTTCAAAATATTGCTTATTGTACATCACTACTTCAGAATCATAGTAGTTACTAGATCAGTTGCTAAAACTTGTTAGAGAAATCTAATATCATTTTAAAATTATTTTTGATAACTATTTTGTAGTACAGTTGATTTCTATTGAAATCATATATATTTTATATATTTAAAAATATTATTCTGACAAGGGATCCATAGGCTTCACTAGACTACCAAAGAGAATCAGATACAAAAAAATGGGTAAGAACACCAATGCTCAGGGCACTTGGGTGGCTCAGTTGGTTAAGTGGCTGCCTTCGGTTTGGGTCATGATCCCAGGGTTCTGGGATCGAGTCCCGCATTGGGCTCCCTGCTCGGTGGGGAGCCTGCTTCTCCCTCTGCCTGCCGCTCCCCCTACTTGTGCTCGCTCTCTCTCTTTGACAAATAAATAAAATCTAAACAAAACAACAAAAAAAAAACACCGATGCTAGATTTTATACTAACATCTTTTCATTCTAAACCATTTCCCTTTTTTTTTTCCCGAGAGATTTTCTGTAAGTGAATTATTTTATTTTTCCTATTCTTATAGTCATCTCATCATTGTATAATATTTTTTTTACTGTAGCTGACTCCACTGGAACCCATTCTCTGTACACAACATACAAAGACTATGAAATTATGTTCCACGTTTCCACCATGCTGCCATACACGCCTAACAACAAGCAACAGGTAAGAGATCCCTGGTGTTGTCTGTGTTTCTTCGCCCTTGTTCATTTCCCCCAGAAGCCTAAGTGGCAAGTTTGTAAAATCTTAAACCAGAATTTAATGTTGCACGTGTCACGGCAGCCGGAAGCTTTGTACTCTGCGGAAATAACGAATAGCAAATGAGCTGAAAACAAATGAAGAGACACAAATTCTAGGTTAACAGCCAGCTGGATGGCTTTGGGAATTAATCCTTTGCTTTTCACCCACGGAGATTGAGGTTTTCATGGAATCTGAAGAGAACAAGTTGAAATCATGGTGATTAGGTGACCCTGCAGGGTTGCAGAGAACATGGATGAGTGGGTGAGATTCCATCTCAAGAGGCCAGGGTACAAAGCAGGAAAGTACTGATGTGTCATTTCAGATTTCAGAGGAGGTTTGGTATACTAACTGGGAGAAAAACCAAAATAAATGTCAGTGGGATCTCAGAAAAAGGTTTTTTCTTAACATTTATCAGGAGACAGCAAAGAACATTAAAACAATTGGCCTTCGTGTACATCATACACAGTTTCTTTTAAAAAAGATCTAAAAGCACCATGCCTGTTACTAAAATGTGGTCATTGACATAGTAAATGAAGAAGCCTAGAAGTGGCAGATTGTCACAGAGCAAAATGGAAACTGACAGTATTATTTTAGAAAGTATGTGGTCATTGCTGTTTTTAAAAAATATGTCAAAATAAATGATACCAAACTGACATTTAAAAGAGCCAGAGAGCAAACAGCTTCTCCTTTCAATAGCAATTATAAACACAAGCAGTCCAGTATTACTTCTGACCTTAAAATGGATCTAGATTTTGTTATTGTAAACTGTTGTGCTAACAGAACACAACCAGCTGCAGAATGAATCACATCCTCTTTCCCAGAATTTAACCAAACACGGATGGAATCAAACACTTCATCACTGCAGGTTTGATTAAATCACAAATAGAGGTAACGAAATTTTGCCTCTTATAATTACCAAAGGAATCAAAAATAGGGAGCAAAGCAGTGAATCAGCTACAAATCTGAAATAAATCTATTTAGGATAAAGTCTATGATCTGGAATTTGTTGACAGTTTTTTTATGCAAATTCCAAGTTCTAGATTACCCAGAGAGGAAAACATCATGGTAAGAAAAATACGTTTTTCTTATTCTGACCAGTAAGTAGACAAAAAAAATTTCAGGACATTCACAGGTGATCTTTAAAGGATTATTCTTTCTGCCTGATTGCTCAGCAGAGAAAGTAAGATGTATGGAAGGATAAAAAATTTAATTGACAAAATTCAATTAATTGTTTATTTCTCCTAAATTAGTTGAAGTGTGTTGAGCAGCATGAGTTGGACATGAGTTGGACAGCTGTCTAAATTATTTAATTTGGAGGTCCGATCAAGGCAAACATTTTATTATGGTCCTAAATCAGAATGAAAGAGTAATTGGTACTGCTGCATCTTAAAAAATCTTAATTCTCTGGGCACCTGGGTGGTTCAGTCGGTTAAGCGTCTGCATTCGGCTCAGGTCATGATCCCGGGGTCCTGGGATCGAGCCCCACATTGGGCTCCTTCCTCGGTGGGGAGCCTGCTTCTCCCTCTCCCTCTGCCTGCTGCTCTCCCTGCTTGTGTTCTCTCTCTCTCTGTCATATAAATAAATCTTTAAAAAAAATCTTAATTCTCTATCTAGAGAATTTATTTCTTCTATGTAGATCACTTTCTGCTTGGGAAAAAAAAAAAAACAAAGAACAGCTTTTAAAATCTTGTGGCAGGAATTTGTTTATAAATACTGTCTTTCATTATATATAATATGAGATGGATAGATGGATTTATTTCTAATTGGGTCCCTCACTAAGACATTAGTGTTACATATCAAACAAGAAAGAATGACATTGCATCAAAAAGACAATGACATCGTCTGTGCAGGAATGACATAATACATAGACAAATTGTATTTTTTTTTTTTGGTGTGTCCAAGATCCTGAGTAGATTAATGTTTAATAATGGATATATTCTGTATAGCAGTACAGACCAGCCTTTATTTCTGTAACATCCAATAATATATCATGTTTAGAAATGAAAATAAGTGGCCTCATTAGAAGATAATTTGGGATGCTTTGAAATTCCTAAGGTTAAAAGTACATTCGTGGAACATTCTAACTCCCAATTCTCAACCCTAATCTAAAAGGCTATTGTTTCTCCCAGCTGAATACTAGGTCACTGATTCTACTGGTATGTAATTTGTGTAAGTTAAAGTCATTGGAGAATTTTAAAAAAAAGTTTTATAAATGCAAGTTTATACCTAACAGATAGTTGATTTAAATGGTATATTTCATTATTTTTCTCCTTGTGAGAGCCTCTATATAATAAATATAAGAAATGCAAATTTTGTTCAACTTTTTTTCACACTACTGAATTAAACTATCTAATAAACCCCTCTTAGAGAGCGACTGGCCTAGCCTGACTTGGGGTGCCTGAATTCGAAAGCCACGTTTCCAAATCACCATTTAATGTGAAACAGAAGGTGGTCTTAAGCAGCTTTCACTGTAATTAAGAAAAGCTGTTTAAACTTGAAATTTAACCTGCTTTAGGAATATTAGTAATTTCTGCATTCCCAGCTGGTGACACAAGAAGCATCTCAGAAAACACCTTAGCGACTCTTTATTTATTTATTTATTTTTTTAAAGATTTTATTTATTTATTTGATAGAGAGAGAGACAGCGAGAGAGGGAACACAAGCAGTGGGAGTGGGAGAGGGAGAAGCAGGCCCCCCGCCGAGCAGGGAGCCCGATGCGGGGCTCGATCCCAGGACTCTGGGATCATGACCCGAGCTGAAGGCAGACGCTTAACGACTGAGCCACCCAGGCGCCCCAGCGACTCTTTAAATGAAGTGAATTAAACCAGAACATAAATTGCATTGTAATTACTTCCGCCATTCTCCTCTCTAAAACATCTCCCCTCTGGCAAGTTTCTTTCTTATGTGAAAATGGAACAAAACTGTTGTTATGGAAACAGAATTTGGAGAGGCTGGAACTTGGCATAATATGCCAGATATTGGTTTGCTCCTGAATGGGCTCTATATTTTATGCAAATTTCAGAATATTCATTTCTATATTCTTCCTGGGAGGGAATAAGAGAGGCTAAAATACTGACAGCAACTGTGTCGATTACCTACCTTAATATGTTCTGATTAATAATGAATGTTCTAAGTACAATTACATAAGGGAATTGGGGAGGAAAACGCAGAGTGTTGTCATTTATATGGTTTGCTTATTTTTCTTTCAGCTCCTACGGAAGCGGCATATTGGAAATGATATCGTAACAATTGTTTTCCAAGAGCCGGGAGCACAGCCATTCAGCCCAAAAAACATCCGATCCCACTTCCAGCACGTTTTCGTCATCGTGAGGGTCCACAACCCCTGCACTGAGGGGGTCTGTTACAGGTACTGGCCCTGCAGCTTTGGCTGCGTGGGTGTTGGCTGGTGGTCACACAGAGGGCCCCCTCCAGCTCCACTTTCTGAAGTGGCATTGGGGAGTCCATTCCCATTTATTTTTGTCTTCAGACTGCGTGCGTAGATGGCTGAATTCACACAATGACGTCACCGGATGGCGTTGGCATTGCCCAGACACGTTGGTTAGACCCCTGCTGTTTCCATTTGCACCGCCTCCTCAGGTGGTGTCCTTCATCCATACCATCTGGTCACCAACTAATTACTCATACTGCTAATTATACTTTGCTTTTGGTGTGGCAAGAGCAGAGAAGAATGATCATAATAAGTAGAAAAGTTTTGTTTTAATTGTTATTATTTCAAAAGCTCAAACCCTTGCTTAGGACCGATTTGATTCACTCTAACATTTCTGACTGCAGTCTTTGAGGCATTTCTGTGCTTTAGTACGCCTGTGGTGGAATTGTTTCCGTGCTCCTTGTTGACCTGGTCTCCTGAGTATCAGAATTCAGGCATCTGTCTGCAAGAGGCCTTTGGGTGTTGACAAGGATAAGAACCGGAATTGCTGGGTTGACATGGGCATAGTACCAAGAAGACGTGTAAGGGTATTCTAGCCTTAACAAGATGTTTCTAATATGAATCTGTCCTTTTAAAATAATGGAATTTTATCCTGTCTTCCCATCCCTAAAATTTGGAAGATTAGGCTTTGTTAGTTTTGGATATTTGTTTTTGAATTAATACAGCCACCTACCCAGAAACTGGCCAACGCAGACTGATAATTGGTTTGTTGTGAGCTCCACCACTGTCTAATTCTAGGTGTCAGTGCAGGTTAATTACAAGAGTCGAGCAAGCAAACTCAGGAAACAAGACAAATAAAGGTTACTGTGGACTCCTGCAAGCCGCCACCATCCCTGCACACATCCCACAATAACGGTGTATGTTGGCCTCTAGTGATAAGCCAAGCACTATTCTAGGCGCTTTACGTGGGTTACCTCATTTAATTTTGAAAACCCATGCATTAGGTACTATTTTTAAAAATCCCCATTTTCAGATGAGGAAGTTTAAGCAATGCGAACAGGTGACTTGCCTGCGGTAAGTGATTGTAATGCACTCGGTCTGATTCTAGAGCCGGGCCCTTCACTGCCCTGCTGCGCTGCCTCACTCCCATGCCCTGTGAAGCAGGGGTCTTTGCTGCCCTTGCTGCCAACACACAAGCTCTTCCAGAACTCCAGGCTAACGGGTGGAAACTCCAACAAGAGAGACCTAGATCTGCAGCCTCTTACCAGGAATATGGTCTCTGAAAGCTGCTCGATTTAGGTGTGGGATGACAGACTGAGTGAGAACATTTGACTGTAACTGGGAGGGATAGCTCTTAGCATTTAGAAAATACTCCCAAGCAATTGAAACATGCTCTGTACTGGATTCATGCAAGGGATTTCATACAACTTTGATAGAAAGCTAATCCCTTTTTGATTGGTCACTACGAAGTTTGGGAGTGGAAAGCTATGCAGTTTGTTTTAGGGAGAGATTCTTCTTTAAAAGCCATTGCCTAAATAAAGTGCTGTTCGACAGAAATGTAATGCAAGCCATATGTTAATTTTATACTTTTTAAAGTAACAAGAAATGGGTAAAATTAATTTTAGCAATATGTTTTTGACCCAAGAATATATTTTATTTACCTGCTATATCCAAATATTATTATTTCAACAGGTGATTTTTAAGTTTCAAAAGTTATTGGCCTATTTTACTTATTTTTGGACTAAGACTCTGAAATCTGGAGTCTGTTTTAGACTTACAGCTCATGTCAATAAGGATGCTTGATTTCCACTGGAAGTAATCTGTGTTTAGATTTCATAAAATTTGTAACTGGAAAAGTAGATTCATATACTCAGATTTTCCAAACCTGCTTTTTCAGAGCTTTCGAGTAACAGTTGACTTTTAAAAATAGGATGTAGGGATGGGGGGATGGGTTAGCCCGGTGGTGGGTATTAAGGAGGGCACGTATTGCATGGAGCACTGGGTGTTATAAGCAAATAGTGAATCATGGAACACTACATCAAAAACTAATGATGTAATGTATGATGACTAACATAATAAAATTAATTTAAAAAAATACAATGTAATTTAATACCCTTGGTCACAGTAGCCACATTTCGAGTGCTCAGTAGCCTACATGTGGCCAGTGCAAGTCTAAATAGACTGATCAGGAGGAAGTGTCTCCTAGCCTTCAACAGTTCGCTAGATGAGGAAGTGATATTTGTCTTATTCTTTTAAACCCCACCCCCACCCTAGCCTTGAAAATCATGCTTTTTTGCTGTCTCTTATTTTTAATCTGTTGCCTGGAGAGCCCATCTTCTTAACCCCACCATGTGATGTGCTGGTTTGTGGGAGGACACTGACCACCCCAGCTCATGCCACATGAGCAAACCTGGGATTTCCTAGTTGCCATGCTTGTTTGAAGACCCAGCACACTGCTTTATAAACTGTGAATGTGGGCCTTTTGTAAATCCAAGAGAACATACCAAATTGGAACATCACTAAAAGAAATTACAAGAAACTAAAGTAGTGATCTTTTCCTATTGTAAACCTTACGTGTATTAATTGTTCTCAGTCCCTGACAGACCGAGGTAAGCATGTTTTCTGGGGTGTGTGGTGACATCAGGAGATGTTTAAAGTCCCAGAACAGACAGGGCAACTTTCTTGTAGTTTATGCTTGGGAGAAAATGTGTGAAGGTGTTCATGTTCTCATGAAAATAAATGTATTATGGGGCGCCTGGGTGACTCAGTCGATTAAGCGGCTGACTCTTGATTTCAGCTCGGGTCATGATCTCAGGGTCCTGGGATTGAGCCCCATGTTGGGCTCCGTCCTCAATGGGGAGCCTGCTTGAGGATTCTCTCTCTCCCTCTCCCTCTGCCCCTCCCCTGATGCAAGTGCATGCACGCTCTCTCTCTCTAAAATAAATAATCTTTAGGGGAAAAAAAAGAAAAGAAACATATTATGAAGCTGAATAGAAAATATGTATCAATTTTAAGATAAAACGTGGGTCTTCCAAAGAATTTCTGTACATGTGAGTTTTTCTCATACCCCAGCCACTCCCCAACCTACTAGGTATATGAATTTATGGGCCTCTTTTATTAGAGGTACTTTGGTAGGAAAGTTTAGAGCTGCATTGATTTATACTAAATTAGATTTAAATCTAATTTAATTCTATCCCTGAGTGATAGAGTGATTCAGATGCTTTTTATCATTGAAAATCTCTTGTTCCCGAACTTTCTGCCCTATGAACATTCACATTTATTTATTGACATCTACTTGGTGCCTGTAATGAGGAAAGTGCAGAAGTTGTTTTCTTAAAGGAGCTTTTTGTTGTAATCGGGTAGGAAAGTGTGAGGTCAGTAGAGACTGAAGTTATAAGGAACATTGAACTGAGAAAATGGGGTTTGGCATGTGTTTTAAAGCACAGATGGATGAAATTCAGTAGGGGGAAAAGAATTCTAAGAGTGGCCAGCATTATATACAGAAGCATAGACACAGGAAGGAAGGTACAGGAAGAAGGCTGCTATTGTATTTGGGGCTACTGGGCAGTGGAGGCCCTTGGAATGCCAGGCTGTCTAGTAGCACAGTATAAATAGAGTTCTAGAGAAATTCACCCAGTGTCACCAGGCAAGATAATTTATATACAAAAAAAGGCAAATCTGGATCTTATTGCTGCTGTTCATTGATTTTTTTTTTTTTTTTTTTTTGCCAGTTCTTTACACCCCTTATCATATATGTGCTAGGCACTATTCTAGGCCCTGGGATGCAACAGGTAAACAAAGAGAGAAAAATCCCTATGGTGGATATGGAGAAGAGGTCCTGAAACAATGGGTGTTATCTCCTTGGGGACTGAAAAGTTTATAATAGGAAAAACTATTTCAAACTAATTCCAGAGGCCAATTAACTTTGAACAGTAGACATAGCCAGGAACTCAGAAATGAATCACTAAGTCTGTACTATGCCCACACCTGTTAAGAGAGCCCTCTGGTCTCTTTATTTTGTTTGGTATTATTACACTGAGCTTAATTGTCTGGTCCTGGTTGATAGAGCAGATTAGAAGCAATAAATCAGAAAGATGAGGAACTGTTCAGTGGCAGGGATGTGCTGAAAACATCAGTAAGTGATTATTAATAAGAGAGATGCAGAAAAACTATTCACATAAGTGATACAAAGCCAATAAGCATAACAGTCTGGGGTCATTTGGTTTGGGAGCAAAGGACCAAGTATACTTCACTCACCCCTTGGGGCCTCCCTTTGTAAAAACTCAGTGTAAAAGTTTTTCAACATTTTTTTTAGCAACCAGTGAATTAGGAGATCTAGGCATTGATCTTCAGAGGTTGCAGATATCACAAAAAGAGACAAACATGTGTCTCATAATGGAAGGACACAACCCCACTTATGAATTAGTCTTGTTCCCTACCCCCCTCCCCCACATTGAACCTGAATCTGATCAAACTTCTGGAGAAGCCAATGTACAGGGAATAGAAAAGACAGAAGAACATGCCCGTATTCGGCAAAATTCAGACACTGTGCAACTCTATGTGACAAGCAGCCCAATTTCCTCAACACATAAATGTAAGAAATAAAAGAGAAAGTGAGAGAAGTGGAGAGGAATGAACAGAACAAAAAAAATTTAAGATAAGATTAATTAAAATGTGTGGATCTTATTTGGATCCATTTTAGATAAGATTTTTAAAATTTTAGGACATCTTCAACAACTGAAAATTGGAACATTGACTCACTATTTGATGAAATTAAAGAATTATTAATTTTAAAACTAGTATAGTAATAAGTGGTTATAATAATGACCTGAGTCTTCAAAACAAGTGTTAAATTGTGGTCAGTAATTACGTTTAGAAAGGTAGAAATGTATGTTTCTTCTCTGAGAAAGATTTCCATATTCAGAGGTTAAAATATGTTGAAAGGAGGTAGTATGATATAGTGCAAAAAGCACTTGGAATCAGACCGACCAGATTGTTAAACCTCTCAGATCTTAAATTTCCCTTTCTATGCAGTGGAAGGTTGCTTGACATCTACGTAAAATCCCATAAGTAAAGTATCTAGTGTAGGCAGGGAGTGTGGTGTATGCATATTAAATGTGCACGCCCTTCTTTTCTAGAATAAAAATAAATAAATATGCAAGCTTCAGCTTGGAAGAAAGAATCAAAGTGGGTCAAGTGGTAGACATATCTTTCAGAAAGTCTATTCCAAGCCTAATCAGCATACCTATTGTCCAGTGTAGCTGACCTTTTTAAGACAAAAATCTGAATATGTCACTCTTGGTGCTTCATACCTTTTGGGAGAAGTTCAGACTCCCTAATGTACAGCCTCCTGCATGAGGTCCTTCAGGCCTGGCCTTTCCACTCTCAGCCTCCACTGGGGCCTCTGCCGATTCTCCTCCACACCCCTACCTCTGGAGCCATGTGGAGCTACTTAACAGCTCCCAGAACATACTGTGTTCTGCCCCTCTTCTCTGCACATGCTGTTCTCCAGGCAGGAAGGCCTCTTCTTACACACCCCTCCTTCAGCTGATGAATTCCTGCTTTTCTTCTCTCTGGGAGGGCTCCCCGACCTCCCAGGACTAGGTAAATTGCGTTTCCTAAGTGTTTCCAGTAGTACCCCTCACCTCCCACAAGAGCACTCAAACCTCTGGATGTAGCCCCGAGAGACTTGGAGCTTCTGGAGGGCTGAGCCTGTGACAGCTCATCCTTGATCCTCAGCATGAGGCATATAGTAGGTGCTCAGTGAGCGTCAGTGAATGCGTACTAGTAGGAGCCAAGAGCCCCCCAGGGAGAGAGTGATGGGCATTCATTTGTTCTGTTGCTGATCTTTCCTGTCCTTTGCCCAGGTCTGTTTTCTCAGAAAGCTCCCCAAGCTGGCAGTCTGATCCAGCCCCCAAGAAGGGGAAGCCTCCCTCTACCGTTCTGGTGCTGAGTCCCCTTCCTTCTAAATTTGGGGTTGGAATTGTTTATTGCCATTTCCATGGTACTTCAGAAATTCAAGCATCGCTGTCTTCTCACTTTTTTCCGTTGAGACTTCCTGTTCGGATGTCTCTGGAACGTTACCATGTACCAACTTGAAACTGGCTTTGGGTGTCAAGATCTGCTACTTTATCCAAGGTCACTGATGCCAGCAAATGCTACAAAGCCCAGCCAAATGGTGGTCTCTTCAGCTGTGTGACACTTGTGCATGGTGCCTTGTGCAAGCATCTCAAGAGTGGGAGGTTCAAAAATGTTCCTTCAGGAGGAATAGTGTGGTCCTCATAGAGCATGCTGCTGGCTATCTAGAAGCTCAAGTTCCAGTCCTGGCTCTCTGTAACAGGCTTTGGGCAGATCATTTTACTTCTCAGATTCTGTTTCCTGGAGAAGTGAAGAATTCGTACCAGCCGTTCAAATGGAGGTTCAGGGCTATGCCTAACGTCAGTAAAACAGAACACTTTCCTAGTCTGTAAATCGTACTCCCAAGATTCGGGGGACAGAACATGTTTTTGTGTTAAAATGAAAACAGATATGCCTCTGTAGAATGCAAAATCAAGATGACTTTTAAAATGAAACTCTAAGATTTTATTGGCAGAGTTTGAGGAACACTGAATTATTCTCCATGTTCTCTTATGGTGCTAACTTTCCATAATTGCTTCAGCCCCTGAGCTTCTGTCTGCTGGATAACTCTCCTGAGTAGAACATCCAATCCTCAGCACTGCCGAGTACATAAGGCATGGCTAGGACTGTAAAGAATGTATCATTTCTAAGGAGATACAGTATTGCATAGAAGGCTAACCTAAGTGTGTCCAAGCAGAAGCCCTTTGGAATCTGCTTTTAAAAATAGCAAGAACCATTTATAATTAATACGTCTTAAAGATCTATATATATATAGTAAACTGAAGTTCTAGAAAGGCTTCTTATAAGGCAAAAATATTCTTTCTTCTGAGCTTAAAGCAGGCATTTTTATCAGGAGTTCAGAATCTGTGGCATCTAAATTAATGAGTTTTTAACCTTGTAGAAAACCTTGACGTTAGATTAACCCAAAACAAGACCTTTTGTTTGAAAAAAGCATCCCAGGGCATCATCCTCCTCATCTTCTGCAAGGGTTCTATTTCTAATGATGCAAAACTGATTTTAGCCTCTGTATCATTTACCTCCCTACCATGATGAATCATTGATAATTATATGTTAAGGATTCAGTTCTTCCCTCATAGTTCATTCTAGAGGCTTCTAATTACGGTTGGGTTTTCAATACATGTTTGTCTAAAGTTCTAACAGTTAATAAATAGGTCTGTAGAAAGCCAGTGAGTTTAAGGGGCAAGTGGATAGATGGTGCTCATATTGGCACCCTCTGGTAAGCACTTTCCTCTCCTTATTTAAAAGAAAACCACAGCTGCTTTTTGAGAAAGAATAACAATTTGAAGTGAAATTAGCAAGAGAAGGAATTGCCAATTTAAAAATGAGTGTTTCTGGATCCTCACGGGATTCCTCTTTAGAAAAGCTAGCTTATCTGGATGTTAGCATCTTTTGCTTGACTTTTAAAAAAAAAAATGATCAAATTAAAATTATACAGCTGTCAGCATTCAAGCCAGACAGCTCACAATAGACAAGAAAAATTGCCTTTCTAATACTGGTATAATTAGGCTATAATGCATATGGAGGTTTCTGTGAATTTTCATCTCCAGTTAGAAAATGGAGCATTGCTTGCCACCTTTCTTCATCATGAAGCCAACTAGTCTTTTTTTTTTTTTTAAACTAAATTTGTGAAAACCAACAAATAGGCCATTCCATGGCATCTTCAGACAAAATAGGTAACTTTAACTTCTGTCCTGGGTTTCCTGATTTTTATTTATTTATCCTATTTTCATGAGAATCCTTTTTTGAAAAGCAAAGCTAAATATCTTAAACCCTTCTTAAAACAAAACAGAACAAAAAACAGTAATGAAATAGAGCTCTTCAATTTATTTTGAAAGATATATACTCTCTGATTGACTTTTCCATTCTGGAAATTCAGAAAAATATTTTGTATTGCTTCCCTAATACTTAGTACAATTGCATAATGGACTCACTTTTAAATAATTAGATAATTTGAAAAGACGGACATCCTATCTCTTGGAATCATTATTTCCAGCCCTCTCAAACTTCACTAAGGTCCTAGAATGAGGTCTTAGGACAAGATGGAAAACACACAACCTTTCTGTTTCCATTTAACTTTTGTTGTTACTGTTTTAGGAAGAACTTGATTTTTTTTTTCCTTTTTGAGATTAAAAATAACAGGTTATTACAGATGCTTGTGATGGTCCCAGTTTTAACAATATTCAGAAAAAGTGACTGGGGCAGGCTTTCTCAAATCAATCTTGCTTGGAGGAATAGGAAGAGGAAAATATTTCCTCACAAATAAGTTGTCAGAATCAAATACCAAATGTAGTGAATGTGGACCAAAGAAGAGCTCAGTTTAAAAATAGGATTTTAAAGCACTGTTGCTATTACTGTAAAAATCATAATTATTTTAATACTGCAATTTCAGTTTTCATTTTAAAATTACGCTTTTTGGTCTGGTTGCATAGGCCAACAAATAATATTTAATTTTTTAAAAAAAATTTAATCCATAGCTTTTATGTCATGCATCTTTGGATATTTTCATTATAAGCTGTCTGCCTTTCATTATAAGCCTATGCATCATACCTAAAATGGAGACCACATTTGTGTTCTTACAAAATCTGTGCTTGTTCTAAAAGGTTATGCTGATTATAGTAACCCCTGCTTGGAAATATTCAGAAGGTATTTAAAGATAGAATATTACAGTACACTTTTTTTTTCCCCACAGAGTTATGATTTGGTTTACTATCCATTAATGTAAGGAAAGTTTTTACTTTAAGTTTTTTGGGGTTTTTTGGACTAGAAAAAATTTTTGTTCTATAAATAGACATTTCTATTATTTCTTGTGGGACATCAATAGTTCTCTTCCTCCTGAGGGATGTCTTTTTCTTTGAGAACGTGTATTTTATTCCCGTGCTGTGACACTGAGAAGTCCTGACGCTCCTCTCTTTCACCTTTGCTTTATCTCTTAGTGTGGCCGTCACCAGGTCCAGAGACGTGCCTTCCTTTGGACCTCCCATCCCCAAAGGGGTCACTTTCCCTAAGTCAAATGTGTTCAGGGACTTCCTTTTGGCCAAAGTGATTAACGCAGAAAATGCTGCTCATAAATCAGAAAAGTTTCGGGCCATGGCAACTCGGACCCGCCAGGAATACCTGAAAGATCTGGCAGAAAAGAATGTCACCAACACCCCTATTGACCCATCTGGCAAGTTCCCATTCATCTCTCTGGCCTCCAAGAAGAAGGAGAAGTCTAAGCCATATCCAGGAGCTGAGCTCAGTAGCATGGGGGCCATTGTGTGGGCCGTCCGGGCCAAAGACTACCACAAGGCCATGGAAATCGACTGCCTGTTAGGGGTTTCCAACGAGTTCATCGTTCTCATCGAGCAGGAAACCAAGAGTGTGGTTTTCAACTGCTCCTGCAGAGATGTGATAGGGTGGACCTCAACTGACACCAGCCTCAAAATCTTCTACGAGCGAGGAGAATGTGTTTCAGTGGAGAGTTTAATTAATAATGAGGACATCAAAGAGATTGTCAAAAGGTTGCAGGTGAGTATTTTCTTTCCACTTATCCACATTCCATTTCCCCTTCCTGAAGTTTTCAGTACAGACTAGAAGCAAGTTACTGAAGTCGGTGCTATCTTATCAGCTTCTCTGAAAACTCCATTGATGATATGAAGTGACCCAGAGTTTATGTCACACTCGTTTTCCATCCTTTCGCATTTGCAGTGCGTTTGTGCTGGAAACCATTTGCATGTGACCTGATCCCACTGCCTTGATGGCTGATGAGGTGGCCCAGCCAGTCTGCTTTAGTTGTTGAGAAGAATTGTTCGATTGAGCATCCTCTGCCTTGAATTTTTGAAGGGCGAAGCGAGTAGCAGAATACGGTCTCTGTTGGCTGCCCGCTCCCTGTAGGTCTCTGTTAGAGGTTTCCTTGTAAGCTCAGTGAAGCCATTGAGTCCTTTGGACACAACAAGTATGTTCTTTTTGGCCTAATGAATGGAGGTTAGTGGTGGGGGGAGTAACCAGACGGTCCTCAGGGGCAGCAGGGTATTTGGCAATAACCTTGCTCGTGGTGTTTTTCCAGCTCCCTGTCCACCACTTGACACCCTGTGGCGTTAAACCATGATGCCTTTTGTTTCCTTGTCCAGTTTGTGTCAAAAGGTTGTGAATCGGTGGAGATGACCCTGCGAAGGAACGGGCTGGGACAGCTCGGCTTCCACGTTAACTACGAGGGCATCGTGGCAGATGTGGAGCCCTACGGCTATGCCTGGCAGGCAGGGCTGAGGCAGGGCAGTCGGCTGGTGGAGATCTGCAAGGTGGCGGTGGCCACCCTGAGCCATGAGCAGATGATCGATCTCCTGAGAACATCCGTCACAGTGAAGGTCGTCATCATCCCCCCGCACGATGACTGCACCCCACGGAGGTAGGTCCAAGCTGGCAGCCGGGACCCTGGCAATCCGAGGCCGGGTCCGTGCGCCGTGTAGAACATCTCCTGCTGGGCAGGGCAGCAGGGCGCTGTGTTCAAAGCTCCTTCCATCCATGGAAAGTCTGACTCGGGACGTCGATCCCTTGCGGTCTGTGGCAAGAGCAGCTGGAAAGAGTGACTGACTTGGACCCTTCCCAGATTTACATCTGTGGATTTATAAACTTGCCAGTACAGATAGAGAAGTCTGGTAATAGCCATTTTAAATATCTTGCGCCGGTAGCTAAGAAACATGGAGTGCTTAATATTAGAAGACACTCAGCAACACAGGCTCTTAGGCTTCATGACACTGTTACTCATCGTCCTGTCCAAAATTCAGAGTGCCGTTTTGACCCCGGCGCTCTCATTCTGGAGCCCTGGACGTGACTTAGCAAGCGTTCTCTCCAGTGCATCTCTGTGTGTCGGGAATTGGCTTCAGATGAGCGGCTCCTGCTCATGCTGCTTTGGCGGTTGGGCCCCCAGCCTTTTCGCAGACGGAGGCCTGGAAGCTCCCTGTCCCTCCTAGCTCCTGCCAAGCCAGCGCATGCTTGAAAACTTAACTTCTTGGTCTCTGGGGAGGTTTCTTGATGGAACAAATTTAATCAACTGTTTCTTTTCTCCTTTGGGCATGTCCATGCTATTTTTACTAGTTTCTTTAAATCTGTTAATTCGCTTTCAGCCCGTTATTGTCTAAGTTTCTCTTAAGCTTTGGCAGTTAATTGTTAGGCCTTCTGAAGCCAAAACATCCTTAACCTGTTTTTTTCCCCAAAAAACATGACCTGTCCTGCACCTGAACTCTCGCAGATTCATGAACAGTGGATGGTAGAATGTGTAAACCATTATAATGGGTTTACGTGTGTTCTTTAAAAAGTAAGCAGCAATGACAATCTACAGGTACTTCAGTTCTTCAGACCAAATGTTGCACTCAAGGTAGTGTTTCCGAACACTGTTTACTGCCTAGATGGCCCAGAGACTAGTTGCCTATGTCAAAATATGGTGAACTCCCTCTGTCGAATAGCTTCACGAAATGCTCCCTTTTGGATGACTGGATTTTTCGGAAACCGAAATATGTACCCAGAACTTTTTATTATTTCAGCTATTTTGGGGGGGTGGGGGTATATTCTGAAATTGCCTTACACACTACCCTGCCTTAGTTAACCAGATGTTTTCTGGTTTCCTCAAGCACATCATCGTTAACGTGAAACATTTTGCTGAACTGGGTTTCAGGAATGACTCTGGAGGCAGATCAGAGAGGTGGTTATGTCCTTACAACACTCCCCAGATGCTCTGTGCTCCTCCTCTGGTCCTTCTGTCAGCTGTCCCTTGGTCTCTCCTTCACATTGTCTGCTTGATTGTTTCTAACTAGGCAGCTATAAACTGGAGAAGAAGAACTGGAGAAGACAACCAAGCTTTGTAACCTGCCAACCTTAATTACACACAGTACAGAATCAAAGACGCTGGTCTAAGGACAAATGGTCTGAGAATGAGTCTGTAGTTGGTGTGGTGCCATCTTGTCTGCCCAGAGACCCTTCCCCTGGCTTCTAGGCTCCCCAGTTGGTATGGGGAGGGAGGACGAGGTACACGTGAGTGTGAATACGGGATGAGCGGATGGGCGACATTGCTGACGCTGAATTGTGCATGGTTGTTACTGGGAAGATGGGTCAGAAGGCCTGACTCTGGATGGACAGGTCTGTGGTAGGAGGTGGTTTATCTACAGCAATATACTAAACCAGATATGTCTTCTGTGGTGTGCTGGTAAAAACAACTAACATCTGCTGAGGATTTAATTTGCCAGGTTAGAAAAAACACTTTCACATGGATTAGTGCTTTTAATCCTTATAACAACCTTATGAGGTAACAGTATTAATATTATTCTTATTTAAAGGAAACCAAAACTCAGGTTAGTAACTTTCCAAGCTCATCTGGCAAATTTAGATCTCACTTCAGAATCCAAGCTCTTAACTACTACTTCGTAGGCTTGGGGCACAAGTCCTTTTTTTTTTTTTTTTTTTTTTTAACACATACCAGCAGAAGCAGGGATCTGCGGGTACGGTACGTTGGCTTTCTATTGAAGAACAGAACCTTGCTGCTGCCCATGGTGTCGATATTGCTTCTGTGGTCGATTTCAAGCTCCCAGCGTGACAGCGCTGAGCTCAGAGGTGGGATAGATGCTCACGGTCTGCTCTTGCGAGCCAGGACAGGCTGCCTCCCGCACACCCCCGAATGAACAAGCCGGGTTTGTCTTCATCCTCCATCACTGCTGCCGAGACCCTCTTTGCCGCTCTCCCAGCCAGTGGACAGACAGAAAGGTGTTAGGAACCTGCCCCCATTAGGGCACGGAGTGGGAGGCTGGGATGAAGGATGGGTGCCCTGCGCCTGGGACGCACACTCTGTGTCTTTCACAGGACAGTTTCCATCCGAAAAGCTCCAGTCACACCTTCTGGGCAGGTGTGAAATGGTGCCATGGTTGCCTTTGGGGGACTGGAAACCCTGCTTTCCCCTTCCCTCCTTTAGAAACAACCTCAAAGGAACAGTGGAAGCATAAACACCTTGCTGTAATTTTCAACAAAATAAGATAATGCTCTTCTGTCATTTTTCTCTCCTCCACACTTCACACTCCCACTGCTGTTTTCCTAGCAGCTGATTACTCTGTTCTTTGACTAGTCACTCTCTTCTCTGTCAGCTATTCCTGCAGCGAGGGAACGGGCCTCCTCCAGGCCCCCTGTCCCAGGGCCCCTCAGCTACCTGCTTCTCTGGGGGCCAGGGTCCTGAGGGGTCACAGGTGCCCGGCGTGCTGACCAGATGTAAATACAAACGCCCATGTGTGTTCACGTGGGAGAGGCCTTAGTTTTGAAAAGGCAGGTTTTTTGTTTTAATGAACAGTTTAACAGCAACATGGGGCTTCAATCATAAAAGTGAAATAGGGCTCTTTTCCCTGTTTTTAGGACATAAGCAGATCCTCTATGAATTGCTTTCACACTAAAGTTGTTTTTAAGAGAAGAAAGGACAGGGGAAGTAAAATTCCTGAGCCCCTGCTGTGTATTGGGCATTAAAAAAAAAAAAAAGGCTTACATTTCCATTAACACAATGAGGAGGAGGAGGCTTGGAGAGGTTCTGTCGCTGCCCAGGGGGCAAGCAGGACTAGCTAGGCCTTCCTGCCAGAGCGGTTTGGTGCTTCCCCACAGCCTCCACCAGGAAGTTTCCCAGGGAGTGTGAGATGTCCAACGTCAGGAGGGGCCCTTCACCCCCGCCCCGGCCTGACTCCGGAGTGCTGGAACCTGTGACCCGCACTTATCTGTTGGTGCCTGCGACCTCTGAATCCTCAGCAGCCGTTCTCTTGGCAAGATGAAAAACACCCCGCTAGCAATTTCACCCACATTAAATCATGATGTTCTGAATGGTGTTGTGCAGGAGTGGTGGACCTTTCTTCTGTGGAGGGCCACTAGCCTACAGCTTCTGAAGAAAGCAATCAAGGACCATTCAGAGGAAGAGCTAAAAACAAACAAGTTACATAAAAGGACCAAATTACTTTTTAAGTAGAACAGATCACAGAGTTTTGTTTTCATTTTAAAACACAAGTATTCAAAATGCAAAAGCATACTGTTTTGGAACCAGGAAGGCTGTGAGAGTTCATCTGGTTCAGATTGCTCATCTTTCAGGCAAAGAGCTTTGGGGCAGCAAGGTTAGGTATTTTTTTCCAAACCCAAATCACATGGCCTATTAGGGCCCTACCTGTCCTCAGACATCGGACTGCCGATTCAAAAGTCCAGTGTTGAGATGATCTGTTGGGTGTGCTGTACAATGGTTCTTCTATCTGTATTCCTAGTGTTGAAAAAGGAGAGAGCAATGGATCATCAGAACCTAAAGGAGAAAGAAAGAAGAAAAAGGCTGAGAAAGAGAGTAGGGAGAAGGAGTGGCTTTTCAACCAACAGGGTTTCGAGAAGGAGTGGCTTTTCAACCAACAGGGTTTCAGTGTGTTGCCATGTGTCTCTCGGGCCTGAAGTACTGAAATTGCAATTCCTGTCTCCCATCACTCTAAAGATTGTTGAGTTTCCCATGTTGTCATAGACTGCTGAGTGAAATGAGTAATCCCTAGAAGTGAAGAAGTCTGGGGACTTGGAGTAGATGTATTCTTTAGTTGGAGATTAAAGTAAGGCTGACCTCCACGTAGACGGATTCTGTGAGTTCAGATCCTGGCTGTGCAGTCTCGGGCAGATTAATCTCTCCAGGCCTCCGTTTCCTCATTTAAAAAAGTGGGGATGATGGTAGTGCCTACCGCAGAGCATTGTGGCACCGCCACATGAGCGCCTGGCCCGTTGTCGGTGTTCATTACTGTTCAACACCGCATTTAACTGAACGACAGAATAAAAATCCTTCTATGAATTTTCATGTGTGTCCCTAAAAGCCAGCTTTTATCTTTGTTCTTCAGTGAGTGTACAGCCCACTTCTTGATTCCATGTATCATTCCTACATGTTCAGAGATAAGTCAGCAACGGGAAGCTGGTGGGTGGGCTGTCCCGTCATGGACAGCAATGAGACACGGCGCGTTGGCCGAGGTTTAGCATTGCGGATCTGTGGTTTCTCGTTCTCTACGAATGAGTCTTCTCTCCCTGCTTAGGCTTTATCATACTGCATCCTGTTATCATCGACTGTGCAGGAGGTTCCTCGCTGCACGTTAGAGGTGGTGGAAATGAAGTACAGACGAAGAGAAGACCAAGTCTTGGGCTACCGGGGTCTTTTAACCGGTTTTAGTATGAAGTGTTACGTAGCTTAAAAGACTATTTCAAAGAGTTTTTGCACTAGAAGAGAGAGATTACCAATTCCAAATCTTTCATTTCCCAAAGGGGCTAAGGCCCCAGAGATGAAAGCAGCTTGTCTGTTTCAGAGTACGTTATATTTGTTTCTGTTATCATTATTTATTTATTACTGTCTGCTGTGAGGCACCCTGTGCCTATAAAGGTGCATGTAGAGTACTGGGGAGTTAAAACCCAACAGGAGAATCCGTCAGAGGGTGGGGTGTGCTGAAGGGATGACATGGCCTACAGGAACATTTTTTAAAAGTTGGTGCCCAAAATACACGATCGCAATGTTCTGTACCTGGGCTGGTTGCTAGCCCCCAAAAGAAAGATAGAAGATATGTATATGTATATGCTGTATAAATGACATGACCCATTGGATTTATAAGTTAAAACAGACCCGTGCTAAGGGGAAGTGAAAGCTAGTCCTGATTTTGAGGTGGACGGAAATTTTCCCATGGATTATTGCAAGTTTTTATTATTGCCCCTTTTGCAAGCTGCAACATTCTTACATTATATTTATAGACACAAGTTACTGTATAATATGCCATATTTGGTCAGAAATGGAAGACTTCAAACCATACTACAGTAATGCCTCTATTAAGAACCAAAAAAGTATTGCAGCTTTTTTGTCAGAATGATCGGAATCAAAGCTAGAAATTATGTCAAAGCCTGAGGTGACACGCCCTCTTATCAGAGAAAAGGTTTATTACATAAGAAGTCATTAGCTGCTAAAAGTCATGTCAGATGTGCCATAAAGCAGTGTTTTGCAAACTGTGGGTTGTAACTCCTAAGTAGATCATGAAATCCACCTAAGAAGCTGCATTCAGGGTGTTTCTTTAATGAAGTGGATTAACACAGAAAACAGCAGAATGGAAGTGTGTGTGTGTGTGTGTGTGTGTGTGTGTGTGTGTGGCTGGGCTGCATCACAGTTTTGTATTTCTTATTGGGTTCATGGTCCCAGAAGTTGGAAAACCACTGTCATTAATGCTTCTCAGGGGTACAGCGGAGCTTAGGGCAGAGGGTCAGATTAAGGTTGACTTAGGCTTTAGGGAATCAGGAGGAGTGGTAAGACAACTCTAAGAAAAGGTGCCTGTTGGAAACTGAGGCTGAGACTGAGCAGGCAAGGACCCCAGCAGATGCACGTGCCTCAGAAGCAGCCCTTCTCAAAACCCGACTGTCTCATGGAGGTGCGGGAGAGGGCCCAGTGTGGCGTACATGTTAGAAAGGCCAGGAGACCGACCTGAGACACGTAGGCAAGCTCCTGAGACGGTGACGCCTTCCACTGTGCTTACTCTCCCACCAACACAAGCCCGTTTCCCAAATCGAGACCCAGCCTTTGGCCCCATGCTGTGCGGTCAGGAGCCACACGTCGCCCGTGGCTGAGGGGCCGTTGTCACGTGGCTAGCCCAAAGTGAGCAGTGCTGTTACGTGTCTATACACACCAGATTTAGATGCATGTACATCACCTTGTTTTTATATTGGTTTCTTGATTACGTGTTCAAATGACAGCATCTTAGATAGATTAGATTAAATAAACAGTTAATTTCACCTATTCCCTTTTACTTCTGTCATGTGGCTGCTAGTTCGCATTATGTCTCTAGTGGACAGCACTGTTTGGACTCTCCTTCCTCTGTGTCTGAAGTGTTATGTAATCACTCTTCACCCTTCCTTTCTCAGTCCCCCCACCTGCTGCTCAGTCTTTGAAATTCCTTTAAACAAGAAAGTCTTTTTTTTTTGCTTAGTAATAAAATCCAAGTGCATAGTTTTGAGTTAATGCTTTAGTGGGCATAGGTTTTTCTCAGTAATTTGTCTATCGGTCAAGTTAATAATAGACTGAACCTTCCTTGGTTATTTGGGTAAAGGGAATGGAGAGTGGTTTCCACATTTCCTAAGGTTTAGGGGCCCACCAAAAAAGGGGCTAAAGCAACAGAAAGACAATTGGGCCTGACATCAGTTTCACTCAGGCTGCCACCTGGGGCCAGTCCTGCTGTGGAAGATTTCTAGCTTGCGGGGTGGGTGGGAGTGAGGGGAGTCTGATTTCAGATTATGCTTTGTTCCCTGGTGATTTGATAATTGCAGAATTTCTATAGTTGGCTTTTTGTTTTCTCCTTCTGAGCTAAATTTGGTTCTCATTTTGGATTTCAAAATTTATCCCCCCTTAATTTTTTTACTGTTAAGATCCTCAGCAAACTCAGTACCTTTTTAGATGCCCAGTCATGATGCTCAGTGAAGGGGAGCATAAAGCTGACTGCTTGCTTCCTCTGGGGCCTGGTCTTAGGGTTCTGCTACCCTTGCCCTGCCGGCCTGGTGGCCTTCCCTCCTCAGGCCTCAGTGCTGACTCTGCTCTTACCCGCCCCCTCCACTCACCAGGATGACTGTGGGTCTCACTGTGTTTTCAGGACTCCGTGTCTCAGACTCCATTGTTGAGACTGAGCAAGGGAAAACATACCAGTATAATACTTCCTGGGGTTCTGGTTTTTGAAAAGCCAGTAATTAGAGGGCCCAATGGTTAAAAAACAGTTTAAAACAAAGGATGAAGTGTTTGATCCACATTAACTGTTAATGAGAATCAGTGTGGTTCCACCCACCAGAAAAAACAATATTAATTTTTCTTCTTTCTGTGCCCTTCATAGGAGTTGCTCTGAAACCTACCGCATGCCAGTGGTGGAATACAAAATGAACGAAGGGGTTTCGTACGAATTCAAGTTTCCCTTCCGAAATAATAACAAATGGCAGAGGAATGCCAACAAGGGGCCTCATTCACCTCAAGTCCCCTCCCAGGTGCAGAGTCCCATGACCTCGAGGCTGAATGCTGGGAAAGGAGACGGGAAGATGCCTCCTCCAGAAAGAGCTGCCAACATCCCTCGAAGCATCTCCAGCGATGGACGCCCACTGGAGAGGCGGTGAGTGTGCCTCCAAAGGTTCGCTCTGAATCCTCGCCCCAGGTTTAAAGAGCCCCAGACCCACAAGCACTAGCTTTAGGCCTTCCCATATTTTACGAGAAATCAGGAATTGTGGGGCGCCTGGGTGGCTCATTTACGCATCCGAGTCTTGATTCCAGCTCAGGTCACGATCTCAGGGTCGTGAGATCGAGCCCTGCGTTGGCTTCTTGCTGGGCATGGAGCCTGCTTAAGATTCTCTCTCTCCCTCTCCCTCTGCCTCCCCTCCCCCTCTCTAAAAAGAAGAAGGAAAAAAAGAACGAAGTCAGGACTTGAAACAGAAACAGGTGCGTGCCCTGGTGGCTTTCAAAGCATGGTGGCATTCTGAAGCCATAAGGATGCATAAGGATGTATTTCAGCAAAGCATTCAGCTCTGAAAAATGTACGTGTGCTTTGCGCTTTCGTTTTCATACGATAGCAACAGAAACCATCACTGCACACTCAGTGGCAACATGGGTTAGAAGTTGGCTGACTCTTTGAGGGGCTATTGACCATATTCTCATCTTTGACAGCCTTTGTCTTTTGGGGGAGAACTAATATGATGGTAGCTAAAGAATGCAGGTTTTTGATTGAGTGTCTGTATTTGTGTCACTTGTTTAGTAAAGATTGTAAAATATTTTAAGTAATAGCACTGTAAATTACCTATGCTAATGAAGGAGACAGTTGAATTCAGTAAGCTGATAGTCACCTGCTAGAAGAAGCCAACTTCTTTCTATACACTGTCCTTTCCTCATCACTTCTGCTTGTCTTGATCACATCTCACAATGTTTTTGTGGCCCCCACCCTGGAGAGGGATCAGGAATCCCCAGAGCTGGGGAGAAGTCTCTGTTCCAGGAGCTGTGTGGGGCAGAAAGAAGGTGGGAGCCAAAACGTGAGTCTAGCTCAACGGAGCAGCTGAGACAGGGTGCCAAGGAAAATGGGCCCCAGCTTTGCTTAAATAGTCATTGGTTGGTTCAGATTGGGAGCAGAAAGCTGGAGGCTTTAAAAACCACACTGTGATGTTTCTTATCTTAGTCTAACTTTTGTGCCTGTATGTGTTTTATGTGCTATTGCATAAAACATTGTCACTTAACTAGCTCAGAAATATTTGGGATATCATGTAGAAATAATTTATAGACAACAACAACAAAAAACTAGTTGTCTTTCTAAACGTCCTCACTTAATCCTGGAGATCTACTTACAGAACTCTACTATTTATCTCAATTAAAGATTCCTCGCAAACTGGCTACTTTACCATCTGGACTCCTCTTACTTTCATCATTTTTGAGGAGGAAAATATCTAAGAGATCTCTGAATAAACTCTTTGTTCTCCACATTCCAAACTTAGCTCTCCCTGAGGTGTGTGTGAACTGGAATTTGTGATTTGGCCCACATTTTGAAAGATGAACTGTAGGAACTCATTGTTTGCAGAAGGGCCTTCTCAATGCTATTTTCTTTCTCCTTCAAGACAATCATGAGACTTTTATAAGTTAAATTGTTTTGTGTGGTTTTCTTATACAATATTCCATATAATAAAAGAGCAGGATATATTTTGATTCCATGCTGAATTTAATTTCTGCCACAGAAACTAAAGCCTGTTGCTGAACATCCTGACCTCAAAAGTGGAAATATTTTTTGTAGCTAATTATCACCATATGATGCAAGCGGCTTTTAGTGCTAGAGAATGCATCAGCTCCCTCATTTCCAGATGGAGCTCTCTTGAGTTTGAGAGGTGATTTCTGAGGGTACGTGTGTCTGCCGCTCATCTTAACCACTACACAGTCCCCCACCCCTGGGGGCAGGGGAATCTGAATGCTCTCCCTGTAAGACCATCAGAGTAGCCCTGGGACCTTCCACGCTTTACAGATGAAAGTGGCAGGAGCGAGGTTGCCAGTGGTTTCAGAGATATTTAACCTCTGCTCAATTAAGACTTCTTAGTTTCAGGTATCTACAGGACACTGGACTGGTATTTCAGATCTTACGAAGGAGGGTTGATGTGACCTGTAAAATCTCAGGTCTACATATGCAGGATATTAGGATTATTTGGCTCACCTGCCTTTTGAAATACATAGTAGTTAGATATACTTCCTCTGTGGAAACTTAAGAGTTCAGTTTCCTATCTCATCATTGCTCACTTTCAGTAATGCATTATTTCTTTTTTTAAGTTTTAACTTGGAGTCACAAATAGAAGGTGCTATTTGAGAACCTTTTGTTTTGCTACTGTTTCAAGGATATTTAGATATAGAACATACTCATGACATTCATCAGGACTACTTCCTGAGTCCTCCATGAATCCCCAGATTCATAAATTTACCCAGAAGTATCATTTTCTCCATGAACTGTAGTAAAATGTTATTGGAAAGCATCCCGTCATGGTGTTACTGAGAACGGAACACCCCACTGAAATGGTGAAGGGAGGCTCCTGGCTGCCCGGCTCTCATCGTCCATTCGGCCTCCCCATTCCTACCAGTCCTGCCCTGGGTGCCATTTGCATTTGTCCCTGGGCAGTCTGTAAAGTGTGACTCCTTTCAGATGAGTTGCAAATGGTCAGAATAAATGCCAGGGTCTGCCATACCTGGAATCTTGCCTTACTGATAATGCCATGAGCCTAATACTGAGACCAAAGTACTGCCTTTACGTATTTTCATTCTATTTATTTTCCTCCCCTTGGCGCTAGGCAAGTTGTATTGAACTGTAGAGAAACCAGCTGTATTTAAGCTGAAGCCAGCAGCCCTCTCAAGTGTGCCCTGCCCAGATTTGCTACACAGATCTGCCCGCTTCATTCACCATGGCTGGTTCCGGCCTGGTTCACTTTCCATGAAAACACCAATTTACTGCTTGTAGAAGCCTAGTTTTTCCTGCATTTTTGTGCAAGATCCCAGACTTGAAGGTCATTAGGAAGATTTTTTTTTTTTTTAAATACTTTTGGAACAGATTTTCCTTTTTTCTCTAATATCAAGGGCATGATTTTTATAACATACCAAAATGTGTTGGTGTTTGAAGTTTCTAATAAGAATTATTTCACTGAATTGTGTTCTGAATACATTGTTGAGAGAAACTGATGCAGTAAAAACAAGAGGATTCATTTGCCGTCTAAATAGACCAAAATCTAATTCTGTTTGCCTTAAATATGTGAGCTTTATGCTCTCCAGGTGGCCTTTTGAGTACAGAATTTTATAGTATTTGTGAGAGTAGTATTTATTAACAGAATTAATATTTACTCAACAAAAATAGGTAATATGATGCAAAAATATCACCATTTTGGCCTCAAATTTATCTAGACTGTAAGGGTAGAATTGGAACTAAAATATCTACTGTAGCACATTGAATTTATCAGATTACTGTGTTTGAACATAGTGTGGGATCAGTCATAAAGCCCTGATGTATGTAAAATATGCTCAGAAAAGTTTAGCTATTTCAGGGGCTTTGCTGGACAATAGGCGTCTTAGCATAAGGAATTTTCCTTTCTCCTTTTTTTTTTTTGAGTTGAAGCATCTCCAGCCTTTATGCAAATATTTGGTGTTGGAACTTAACCAGCTTTGGTACTTCTGAGTTGTACCTGGATGCCACTATTCCCCGCGTCCGCTGCCTTTAGCTCTGAGCAGCTGGGGGGAGCACTTCCCCACTTGGGAGGTTAAGGCTGGCCACGTGTGCAGCCTCCCTGTGCCCTCTCTGCAGCCACCAGCCCCCCACAGAGAGCATCACGGTCATGTGCCCGTTCAGTCTTCGTTTTTAAGGAGATGCTAAGTTTATTTGAGCAGTCGCACAGCAGTCTTCAGTGTCGTTTTCTGCTTTGACATAAAGCAAGCGCCCATTTAATCCCTCAGCTGTGGTTAGACGGTTCAGGACTAGTGTATTCCAGATGCCGTCTGCCTGGGTCATAGTTGTTTGGCTTGAGTTGAGGACCCTTGAGCCCTAGAACTTGAGAGCTTCGCTGGGCTCGCTCCGCCTACATCCCTGACCTCCGTGTTTCTAGAGCTGAACCCACTGGATGTGGCTGTCTTCAGTTTACCTGACACTGTTCGTTGCTCCCTCCTTCAGACTCCTTTTTCCTGTCTTCCAAAACTTCACTCCTGAGTTTTTTTTGGTCAGCTCTCTGCACCTGTCTCGTCGCCCCCCCCCCCCCCCCCCCGCAAACGGTGTGTCCTATACGACTCCTTCCTCATTTTTCTCTTCATCCCATGCCGGGCAGTGCCGCGGGGTGGCTTGATTTTTCTCCGCAGCGTCGGCCGCCGTCACCCTTGTGTGGGCAGTTCCTCAGCAGTATAGCTCTGCCTTGACCTCCTTTTCACTTTTCATGTCCATTTGCCTGACGACGTACTGAGTCTGCCCTTGAAGGTCATGCGAGTGTCTCCTCCCCACAAGCCCAAGTGGCCTTCGGTCACGCCCCTGCTCGCCATGTCACCCAGCGCAGTGACCGGCCCCCCAAGTGTCAGGGTGGCGCTAGGATTCCTAATTGCCTTCCTGTCCACCCTCAGCCCCATCCCCACCCCATCTAGTTAGGAGTCCTAAACTTCTCTGAGTTCTTGGTTTTTGAGCTTCCCCCGACCTTGCCGCAGGGGTGTTAGGTCACGCTAAGATTGTTCTGGCCCGGACAGCACGGTGGGGGGGTGGTGTGTGCAGGCTGATAGAAGTGGAGGCGCCCCTCATCGCGGCCGCCAGTGCGAGTCCTCCTCCCTGGGAGCTCCTGCTCAGCTGGCTTTCGCCTTCCACCCACCGCCCCAGGCTCCGGGCCCGGGAAGGACTCTGTTGGCCGGGTATTCTCTCCTTGATGCCTTGACACGAGCGGCCCTGCTCCATCTGTCCTTCCGCTCCCTGTTTCCGCAGCTTAACAACCGGTCCTTCATTTGTAACCAAATTATTGGCCAAGATGAGGAGGAAAAGCAGAGGGCCATGCTTGACTTAAAGTCACGGGGCTCATATGGCTCCTTTTCCCCCAGCCCTCCAAAGGAGCTGGCGTCCCGTGGCATCCACACTGGGATTAG